AGCTGGAAGTGGTGCTGTGGCTCAAGGCGTAGAGCGCTCGCCTTGAGCTGAAGAGCTGAGAGACAGCGCCCAGGCCCCGAGTTCAAGCCCCATGACCGACCAAAAAGAAAAAGAAAAAAGACCACCAAGGGCGGTGAGTGGAGAGGTGTGGGGTGGAGGGGCGTCAAGTGCAGATCCCACCAGCGGTCTGTGTGGCTTTCCTGAGTTCAGGGCACGGCCCAAACAGAGACCACCGCTAGGAGGTGCCACCCCCGGCCCCCGTGCTGAGATGGCCTCTGGATCCCCTTGGGGTAAGGGTAGGCTTGGCCCAAGGTGGCCCCACAGCCGCCCCATCCCCCTCCTACTCCTGCGGTAGAAGGGCGAGGGGGCTGCAAGCCAGGCCGAGAGGGTCAGTGCAGCTGGCCGGGCCGGAGGAGGACGGAAGGGCCCAGTGTGGACTGGGCCAGGACTCCCACTGGAGACGGGTGCTCCTGACCGCTGCTCCCGTGAAGGTGCCACGTGCTCGGAACGGCCCGTGCGCACTGTGCGTGCGGCCAGGTCTGTGTTCTGCACATTTTACCAGAGGGCTTAATTGTTTGTTTGGTTGGGGCTTTGCGGGTGTTTTAACTCAGGAGTCTCCCACTTGGTCACACTTGGTGCTCTACCCCCTTGGACCACACCTCTAGCCCAGCTTTTTGCTGGTTAATTGGAGATGGGGTCTTTAGGACTTTTCTGTTCAGGCTGGCTTCAAGTAGAGATCCTCTGCATCTCAGCCCCCTGAGTAGCAGTGTATTTGTTATATTTAGCGAGGGTTATTATTTTCGGGGTCTAGCTTTCCACTGGTTATTTTGAAGATGGGGTCTTGTGAGTATTTCTGCTTCGGCCGGTCTTGAACTGATTCCCTCAGCAGTGAGCTAGGGCTGCAGGCATCAGCTACTGAGCCTGGCTAGTTTATCCCAGCTTTTTAAAAGAGTCCCAAGTCCAGGACAGAGCCTGGGGTACCCCAGGTTCCTCTAGTAGAGAACACCCCCAAACATCCGGGGCGCCCCGTCTCCTACCGCACGGCTTAGGACAGCTTGTTAACACACAGGAATAGGATGCTACATTATTCTTAGGGGATCATACTCAGAAATAGATTCTTTTGTGTGTGTGTACGAGAATCCTGGGACTTGAACTCAGGGCCTCAGCTCTGTTCCTGAGCTTGTTTGCTCAAGGCTGGTGCTCTACCATCTGTGCCACAGCTCCACCTCTGGCATTTTGTGGTTATTTGATGATAAAGAGTCTCACGGGCTTTCCTTCCCTGGGCTGGGTTTGAACCACGATCCTCACGGCTCAGCCTCCCGAGGAGCTAGGATGACACTGGCGCCCGGACAGAAATAGATCATTCAATTGAAAACTTCCTGGGCAGACCTGAGGTGGGAAAGCATCATGCTGCCCGGGTGTCCCCAGGCCCACTGTGCCCCCAGCCGGGTGCCCGGTCCCCTTTACCCCCCTCCCTTCTCCTGCCACACCCCTCCAGGTAGCTGAGCGGCCCACTGGGGCGGTGGGGGCCTGGGAAGGCTTAGGGTAGGGGGGAAGATGCCGGGGAGGGGGGAGGGACAGCACGCAATGCCCCTGGGGCTCCATTGGAGCTGAACCCCTAACCCCTCACTAGGGCCAAACAATGCGTGGAAAGGCCAAGGGCCCACACTGGGCCACTGGGGTGGGGAGTCCCCCAAATCCTGCCTGCCTGGAGCTTGCGAAGGCGACCCCTCACTGGAAGAACGTCTTTGCTGTGATGAACGCTGAGAGGCGATCGCTCCGTGCGTCTGGATCACAAGCGCTTCTTGAGCGGTGGCGGGGCGTCAGGGACAGTGTGAGGTCCCCGGGCCACACGGAGGAGACACCGGGCGCGTGGCCATCAGCCACAGTGCAGAAATGACCACAGCCACCAGACGCCCGAGAGAGCTTGGGACAGGCCATCAGCCTGCCAGCACCCCAGGCTCAGACGGCAGCTTCTAGAACACGAAGAGACAGCCAGGACAGGAAGGAGGGTGAGCAAACACCGGGCCAGCCAGGAGCCCAGGGACAAGGAGAGGCTGAATGGACAGTGACTGAGATTGGGGCCCGGGCTCCAGAGACACCCCTGAGCTCTCCCCTCGCGTGGCCGAGGCGTGGAGCTGGACCCTGCTCTGAGCCTCGTTGCATCACCAGTCAGTCTGGCTGGGGTCCTGCCCAGTGCCAAGGCAGCTGGGGGGGGGGGGTTCGGACCCCAGGGCCTGTGACAGAGCTCTGGCTCTTGTTCCCGTTCCCGGCGGTGTCTCGCGCTCTGCCCACAGCCCCCGCCCTCCCCGAGCCCAGCCCAGCCAGCAGCTGCTCCCAGTGGAAAGTTCCCTTCTTGAAGATTCTCAGTCTGCTCACTCCGCTCTTGGAACAAGATAAAACTGCTTCATTCGTACAAAGCCACAAAGCCAGTCCTGAGTAACAACAACAACAAAGCCAGGCCCTTGGCTAGAGGACAGGCCTCGGGCCTCCCCGGCCTCCCCGGCCTGCTCTGACTCACACCACCCTGCGGACAGGCCAGAGCGCCCGGGGCGGGGGGGGGGGGTGGAGGGTGGACCCCAGAGGGCCAGAGAGGAACAGGGACCAGGAAGAAGAGGACAAGAAACTCAGTTCAAAGTTGTCCCTTCCCAAAGCTAGCCAACGCCTCCGCTCCTGCCACGCCCACTGGGTAGCGGGCAGGGCAGCGGGCGGACAGCGGGCCGGGCCTCCCTCATTCACCAGCCCCTGCCCGCTGGGCAGGCCAGCCACACCCAGAGGCTGGAGGAGGGGACGCGTGGCCTGCCAGGCCTCCCACTCAACAGAACAGGGGAGGGGCGGGATGGGGTGGGGGGCATGGCAGGACTCAGGATCTCAGAAGGCCACAGAAGAAGGGGGGAGGGGACACGGCGGGTGGGGGGTGGGGGAGGAGGCAGGTGCAGTCCGCTCACTCGGCAGATGAGGAAATGGAGGCCCAGGACACACAGTGATCCCTCTGGGATCACCCAGTCTGCTAGGACAAGAGCTTCACCCTGGGGCTGGGAGCTGAGTTACAATGAACCCCAATTAACGGAGCCAGGGGGAGGGACTCACCCAAGCCGCTGGGACTCTTCCCAGTACAGCCGGTTCATAACGGAGTTTTAGAGGAAACGTTCTTATAAAACAAAACAAAAACCCATCCAAATGAGGAGTTCGTAGGAAAGCACCAGTCCCGCTGGTGTCCTGGTGCATGCCTCTGATCCCAGGACTTAAGAGGCCGAGGAAGGAGGCTCGGGAGTTTGAGGCCAGCCTGGGCTGTAAGGGGAGAATAAAAAGGGTTGGAAGTGTGGCTCTAGTGGTGGGTAAGGATTGCCTCTGACACTGGAGGCCCTAGCTTCCATTTGCAATGTGGAAGGAAGGGAGAAAGGGAGAGAGAGAGGGAGGGAGAGAGCGAGGAAGACAGGAAGAGAGGGAGGGAGGGAGGAAGAGAGAGAGAGGGAGGGAGGGAGGGAGGGAAGGGGTAGGCCCAATCTTTTACCCCTGTCCATCCTAAAACAAGGACCCACGTCTTCCCTGGCTGTGCTGTTCTCTCCAGTAAGGATGACAACCATCAGATTGATCGCGATGGCCTGGAATTGGTGTCCGCAAAGGCTGTTTTGTTCGGTATATGAAAAACTCATGGGCTGAGCGCTGGTGGCTCATGCCTGCCATCCTAGCTACTCAGGAGGCTGAGTTCTGAGGATCACGGTTCAAAGCCTGAGCAGGAAAGTGCGTGAGACTCTTATCTCCAATGAACCCCCAGAAAACCGGAAGCGGCGCTGTGACTCAAGTAGTAGAGTGTTAGCCTTGAGCGAAAGAGCTGAAGGACAGCACCCAGGCCCTGAGTTCAAGCCCCATGACTGACCAACCAACCAACCAACCAACAAAAGCTCATAGACTTGAATTCAAGTCCCAAGTCCGGGCTCCAACCCCGCAGGGAGCACCCCTCCCTGGGCGCCCTGCTGCCCACCCACCCTCCTTGAGACGGGCTGGAGTCTGGCCCAAGGCTGGGGCCCTAGCTGGCCTAAGTAAGAAAATGAAGGCCGGACCCCCGCTCCCCAGAGATCTGGCCAGCCGGACCGCTGGCGGGCCTGGGAGGCGGTTTGCGCCCAGGACAGCTCCCCTGGCTCGGGTCCAGGGGCCGCTTCTCACCACCCTCTTCCCTGAAGCCCCAGCAGACCTGACTTGGGGGACCCCACGCGCCATCATCACACCTGGTGACTGGAGTCGCCTCTTGTCCTGTTACGGGGTGGCGTGTGTGGGGTGCTTCTCAATGGGCCCCCAGTCAGGCTGGGGGTCCTAGGAGCCCATGCATGGCTCACCGGCATCACATTCCCCAGTCCCCGCCCTGAGGACTCCCAATCACAACAATGACCAGCAGTGGTCTGGGACAGAGGAGTGGGGAAAGGGGTTTCTCAGGCAGGTCGCTGGGGGGGGGGAGTCTTTCCTCTCCAGGGATCAGGGTCTGGATCAGCTCTGAGGGGGTTTCAGAATGAATGGGTGTACACGCATGCGCACACCGCTTGGCCTCCCCAGCGGCCCAACTCTATCATCAGCCGCCTAGGAATGCTAGGGCAGGGAGCAGCCGGCCGAGCACGCCTTAAAGACAGACAGAAACCCCACGGCCCGAGCCAGGCTACCCCCGCCCCAGCCCCAAGCCTGAGGCACAGGGTCCCCGCACCCACCCAAGCCCAGCCTTTGGGGGGGGGGTCATCTTAACACCCCTGCGGTCACAGAGGCAATGACAATTTGCAAAATGACAGAGACACAGCCCAGGGCGCGGAGAGGCGAGTTTAAATAAAAGCCAGACTCTGGGGCTTCGTGTGTGCAGCCACATTCCATCTGACCCACCGACAACAGCCCGAAGGAGAAGAAATCTGTCTACAGAACATTTAAAAAAAAGGAGTCGGGGAGACCCTGGTGCTGCCTCCCGAGGCTCCGAGCTGGGGTTCGGGTCGGGGAGACGGGCCAGGCCCGCCGCCTACCTGTGATCCGGTCTCTCTCCATTCCTCCGGTTATATATATTTAGCAGCAGGCGGAGTCCGGCGCCCCGTCCACCGACGTCCCCCCTTCACACCCGCGTCGCCCTCCCTCCCTCTGCCTCCTCCTCCAAAAAACAAAAAGCCACTCTTCGTCTTGTGTAATTTCTTCAATCTGTTGCAATCACGAATGCATCCACATTACCACACTTCCATGTGCTTGTCATATGTGTGAGCGAGCGCCGCACTGAAGCCGCGTTGTCTCTTCAAGCCAGGAGAGGACAGGGAGCAAAAGGAGAGACTTGGAAGAAAGTTGGAGAGAGGGTGCGGGCGGGTCTTTCAGGGACCGGGTCCCCGCCACGTGCCAGGACGGGCCGCCTGGGCCTGGGCCTCCCAAGCCAGCGCGGTGGCTTCAGGGTCCTGCGTGCAGCTTCCGGCAGGCGGGCGGCGGCGCGGCCTCTCTCCACCCCCTCCGCCCCCGCTGCCTGCCCGGCGCTCTGGCTTCTCCCTTTTAATATTCCCTTGGAGATGTTTAACTTAGGCTCTTGGAAACCAACTCGCAGAGTCAAATTCCTGGCGGCTTCCAGAGCCTTCCCTCTCCCTCCGGCCAGCCAGGCTGGGAGGCTGCGATTTCCGATTTCCTCGGGTTGTAAGCGTTTCACAAGCCTAGTTCCTGACCGCCGGCCTCGCCTCTCCTCTGCCTCCCTGGCCCGGCCCTCGCCCTGCACTCAGACTCTCCCAGACAGGAGGGCTCAGAGGTGGAGGAGCTCTGACACCTGCCCAGGTGGAACCCTGCCGTCCCCCCCACCCCTCCCCAGTCCCTGTGTAGCTGCCTGGTCTCTGAAGAAAATGCCGTCTCTCCTCCCCAGCCTCCTCTCCCCAGCCTCCCGCCAGCAGGCTGGAAGATTTCCATCTCCCACACATGAGTCAGTGTGTCTCACAGTCCCCGGGGAGGGACCCTGTCCCTGGCTGTGATTTCCCCAGACTCAGCGCCTGCTCTTTGGGAACTGGCTGGGGGAGGAGGGGGAACTTGGTGCTACTTCCGGCTGCCCACCCGGCCACAGGGGTCCCCACCGGCGCCAGTCACCACAGAGGAGCTAGGAGGGCTACCGCGAGGGTCCCGGGAGGTGTGAGTTATGGGGGGGGGGCTGCCTCAAGGGGTGGGCGGAGATGGGCTGTGCTGTGCCATCTCTAGTTAGACAAAATGTGCATTCCTCCCAGTGCCCCCGCTCGGGCTGTTTATGAGAATGACTGATTTTCAGCTTCTCTTGAGACAGAAGCAGCCGCGCCGCCCACACCGGGAGGCCTTCCTTTCCTGCCCAGGGCCAGCCCTGGCCTGTGCACCGTGCACGCCGCGCCATGACGTGCTCACATACAATGTGCGTTTGCCACCCTGCTCTGGTCCCCATCCCCATCCTGGATGACACTTCCTGCTCCCGGGAGGACTCGGAGCTGGCGGACCGGCCCGTGAGTCACCACAGCCTGCCGGGCTCAGCCAGCCACAGGACCAAGGCGCAGGCCCGGCCACCTCCTCCCTCCTCCCAGCTCTGCCCCCACCCTGCCCCGGGGCCGGGACCCAAACCTACCCCTCAGGCTGCAAAATTCTTGTTGGGGTGTGTGGGGACAACACGTGGGGGGGGGGGGCAGAGCATAGTCCCAGGGGGCCGCTGCCCAGCGAGAGAAGGGGACAGTGTCCGCTGAGGAGGGACCCGGCGCTCAGGCATTGGGGAGGGGGGGTCATCAGACATGTGATTAAGTGAAAGACCTTGAGCTGCAGGGATGACCGGGGCCCAGGGAGGCCGCGGAGGGAATCATCTCCGAGGACAGAGCAGAGAGAGCGGAAGATGGCAGTGATGTGGCCCCAAGCCAGCAACACCTGGCTCCCCAGAAGCCGGTGGTCAGGCAGCAGACCTGGGAGCCGCTGCGGGCGGAGCGTGCAGCCCTGCACTCGCTGGGACGCCCAGCCAGGGCTGCTGAGTTCTGACGTGTGGCCTCCAGCTGGGAGAAGGTAACTGGGCCGTGTGGGTGTGGGTGCAGGGTTCTGGGCTCTCCTGGGGCCGCCGCTCACCACAACTGCTCCGTCACCCGACGTCTTTCCAAAACACGCATCATGGCGGACGCTGAGTGCTGAGAGCCACAGGGGTTGGTTCGTTTCTTTACTCTCTCTGCTGACATTGAGAAAGGATTGCGGGCGGTTTTTCCTCACTACCAATGCAGTGTCTGTTCGCTGTGTTGTTTGGGAAGCACAGAGAACACAGGAGACTCTCACACAGGGCTCCCAGGGTGGTGAAGGGGCGGGCGGGCCCGGCCAGGGACCAGCGCCTCCTGCAGGCCTCACCCCCGGCTTGACCGTCATTTGTTCCAGCCGAGTCTGGCTCGAGTCTGGCTTGAGCCCCACTTCCCCGCCATGGCTAAAACTCCAGGCACTCTAGCCCAAGCGAGGGGCGACCTGAAATCGAAAACCTGGCTGCGCGGGCTGGGAAGGTGGCTCAGTGGTAGAGCGCTTACCTTGCATGCCTAAGGCCCTGGGTTCAATTCCTCAGCCCCACATAAGCAAAAAAAAGCCAGAAGTGGTGCTGTGGCTCAAGTGGTAGAGCGCTAGCCTTGAGCTGAAGAGCTGAGGGACAGCGCCCAGACCCAGAGTTCAGGCCCCACGACCGGACCCCCCCCGCAAAAAAAAAGAAAAAAGAAAACCTGGCCGCGGTGCCTGGTGCCAGTGAGGCCTGTGTTAGTTGTTAGCCAGGGGCGACACAGGGGCAGTGGGGGTGGGCAAGGCCCCCGGCTCACGCCCGTCATCCTAGCTACTCAGGAGGCTGAGATCTGAGGATTGCGGTTCAAAGCTAGCCAGGGCAGGAAAGTCTGTGAGACTTGTATCTCCAGTAAACTACCCAACCAGCCAGAAGTGGAGGTGCGGCTAAAGTGGTAGAGTGCTAGCCTTCAGCAAAACAAATCAGGGACAGCACCCAGGCCCTGAGTTCAAGCCCAGGACCGGCGCTCAGGCGCATGAGCAGATCACATGTACTGGCTGGCGGGAGTGACCAGCTGTTTCTGAAGAGGACGGAGGCTGTGGTCACAGGCAAGCAGGACCCCAAGTCTGTGCCAACCCGGAGCCTCAGCGCCCACCCCAGCCTGCCCAGTCCCAGCACCCCCTTCCTGTCCTTAGGGCGGCACTCTGCCCCTCACCCACACTGACCCGCCCCGCTGCAGAGGGGCTTCACCCGGTGAAGCAGCAAAGGAAGAGCGAGTACCATACTCTCTACACGCAACCTGGACAAGGCTTTGTTCCAGAACGCACCGCGGCCTGGTCCTCCGGGACCGTCCTGCCAGCCAGCCCTCCGGCTGTGGCTTTTCAACCCTGGCGGAAACTCACATCCCGAGCTGAGAGAGCCTGCCCGCCTTTGCACAACCCGGCGCCCAGCTGGGAGGTGACAGAACACTGCCGGGTGACCCAGTGGCCCACGATGCCGTCCAGGTCAGAGAGTGAAGTGTCCTGCGTGGGTCTGACAGGGGCAGCAGGAACCCCGAGAAGGGGGAGGTCGTGGGGCCGCCAGGCCTTGCTCCTGGGGTGCTCCTGGGGCGGTTCGTGAGGGAGGAAGGAGGGCTCTTGGTGGCCAGAACGCTTCCAGGCTCTGGGCGCAGACTTGCTGCCACCACAGTGTCCTCCCTGAGTGTGGCGGCTCAGGAGCCTCCACAAGGCCGTCAGGTCGCTGGAGCAAACAAGCTCGCTTTAAAAATGAGTTTTCCTGCCTGGGTGTGGTGGCTTACACCTGTAATACCATCCTCTCAGGAGGCTGAGATCTGAGGATCCCAGTTCAAAACCAGCCTGGGTAGGAAAGCCGCTGAGATCCTTATCTGCAATGAACCACCAAAAAAATCAAAAGTGGAGCTGTGGCTCAGGTGGTAGAACAGCAGCTTTGAATAAAAAAGCTAAGGGAGAGGCTGGGAAGGGGGCTCAGTGGTAGAGTGCTTGCCTCGCATGCCTGAGGCCCTGGGTTTGATTCTTCAGCACCACATAAGCAGAAAAAGCCAGAAGTGGTGCTGTGGGCTTAAGTGGTAGAGCGCTCGCCTTGAGCTGAAGAGCTGAGGGACAGCGCCCAGACCCAGAGTTCAGGCCCCACAACTGACAAAAAAAAAAAAGCTAAGGGACAATACCCAGGCCCTGAATTCAAGCCCCAGTCCTGGCACGTGCACACATACACACAAATAATAGTGATAATAATAATGGTAACAACAACAAAATATTTTTCTAAATGGGCTGTGGTGGGCATGTCTGTAATCCCGGCAGAGGACGGCGACCTCAGGCCAGCCTGGTCTATGCTGCAGTACCTTGTCTCAAGCTAACCAAGAAATGAAGGCTGCTCCAGTCCCCTCCCGCTAGTGCGGCCTCGGCTTCTGAAGCGGCTTGCCTCATCTCTCTAGGAACAAAGGACCTCTGTGCCCGGCCTGCGGCGAGGCTGCGCCGTGGCTGCCGTCCGAAGCCCTCCAGGTTGGCCCTAGCCCAGGCTGCTCACCCGCCTGGGGCCGCAGCATGCCTTTCGGTAATCTTCTCTGCTGCACCTCAAGATTCCTAAGTCCATTCAGGCCAGCTCCTCTCTGACTGGGGGCCGAGGCAGGGTCCGGTGGAGCCATCGGCCCGGCCCGCCCTGCTCGGGACCTTTCACATCGGCCTGGAAGGTGCCCAGGACTTGGGTCCCACCCTGAAGGTCCTCGGCCCTCACATAAAGCTGTCTGTCCACGGACGGAGCCTCCAGGTCACTCCTACAGGGGTCCTGGGCAGGAGAGGCGGGGGCGGGGACCCGTGGGGGCAGCGGCTTTATGGCATGCACTCCAGCATCCTGCCTGCTGGGTCGGTGCCCAATAAATGCTCAGCAATGAACTTGAGAATCCGATGCGCAGACAACACAAGCCAGCCCCGCCCCCACCCCTTCCACAACTGACTCCCCAGGAAGGCAGCTGCCAGGCCTGGGGCTGGCCTTCAACTCCAGGGGGAGAGGGTGGAGGCAGAAGGGGTTTGAGTCAGGGCCAGGCTGGGGTACACAGTGA